GAGCTGGAGTCGGGGAGACAGGAGTGGCCACCAGCTGGCAGGGGCAGGTGCAACTTGAGGCCAAGTCTGAGCCACCATGATCTTTACCCACCCCAGGCAGCTTCAGGAGGGAAAGAGAGGGTGCTCTTCTTACACCTTCCACACTGCTGCCATGCTGAAGGGGCAACTGGGGCTTCCAGAAGAGAAGCCTCTGTGCCCAAAGACCCTGGCACCCTAGTTTCCAGCTCCTCCTCCTATTCCCATCCCACAACTGCCTGCCTCCCTGCCCTCCCCCTCCAGCTCCTCCCCACCCAGCACCTATCCTGTCCCCTAACCCCATCCCCTCCCCTGCAGGGAGCCCCGCCTGGGAGCACAGCAGCCTTCTCCGAGTCCCCCTTCATCACCCCAAATCCAGTTTCCTCTTCTAGACAGCAGCCAGCCTAAAACATCTGGGCAGGCAGTCCTAGCGCAAGTCCTGGATTGGGGGTTGGGGGACAGACACTGAGGTCAGCTCCATATGGATTTTCCAGCCTGGTGGAGAATCGTCTCATCTTTATGAGATGAGAGGGGCCATTTTCAATGTCCTCCCACTCCTTCTCACCCACACCCAAGCTATCTCCATGTCGAGTCCTTTCTCCAAAATTAGTCGTGGCCCCGCTCAGTACTCTCCCTGGCCCACTGCAGGCGGGGCATCAGCATCAGAGGAGAGGAGGGATGGGAGGAGAGGGAGGCGCAGAGGGGAGGCAGCTACAGTCTGTTCATTAACCACCTTGACTGGCCATTTCTGCCCAGAGTGGTAAAGAAGGAATAAGGACTTGTGGCTGGGGAGGGCGGAGGGGGCACTCCTGCCAGGCTATGCCCAAGGGCAAGGGAGCAGGGCCCACGCTTTAGAGTGGATATGGAGACAGTGCTTTGAACCCTAACCTTGCCGGGCCTGCCAGCCCCACTCACTCACTCACCTTTCCTGTAGAGGAGCCACTGAATGAGGTGGGTGTCTGGGACAAGGGATTCCCAGGACAGGAGTGGTGGCTGGTGATGCGAGCAGAGGCTGTGGCTGGCAAGAAGCTGGTTTCCCAGAAGAAGGCAGCGAGCGAGCCTGTGTCCAGGCAGGGAGTGGGGTGCAAGGAGCAGAGTTTGTCCCAGGGCCACTGCTGGGAGCAACTGAGCAGAGGGCTTTACTAGTGGGGTTCCCTCCCAGACCAGCCCAGGGGCGGGCCAGCAGTGCACCGCCTTCTTCCCGGAGACAGCCAGGAGTGGGCCCCCTCCACCAGCCATGGCCTCCTTTAACCCCTACAGTGCCCTGCTGGCTTCACTCTAACCGGCTCTGGCCAGGCCATGGCAGGGCGCAGACACCTGGGCAGGAGATCGCCAGGGAGTGCAGCTGCCCCTCCTTCAGCCACTGCCCTAGCAGCCTCCCTGGGGACAGGAGAGGTGGGGCCAGAAGGCTTGGGGACAAAGTGGATAGGGAAGGAGACAGGGAGGCATCAGGGCCTTAAGAAGACCAGGACCCCATAGAAGAGACACAGGTGCAGAGAAATGTCCAAAGTGCTGCTAGGTGGGGAAGGATGGTTGCTGAGACGGTGATGATGATAATAATGATGATGATAATAACAGTAACAATATAACAACTGTCAACTTTTCTTCTCTTTTTTTTTTTTTTAAGAAGGAATTTTTTTTAAGAAGGAATCCAGCCCAGGCTGGAGCACAGTGATACAATCTCAGCTCACTGCAACCTCCACCTCCCAGGTTCAAGGGATTCTCCTGCCTCAGCCTCCCCAGTAGCTGGGATTACAGGCACTCGCCACCACACCCAGCTAATTTTTGTATTTTTAGTAGAGACGGGGTTTTGCCATGTTGGTCTTGAACTCCTGACCTCAGGTGATCCTCCCGCCTCAGTCTCCCAAACTGCTGGGATTACAGGTGTGAGCCACCGCACCCGGCCAACTGTCAATTTTTCTAGAGCACTCTGCTTTATGCTATTTCCAATTCATTTTGTGAATGCAGGCCAGGAATCTCACTTCTTTTTTATTTTGACTTTTTATTTTAAAATAATTGTGTGTTTACAGAAGAGATTCAATGGCGGTAGAGACAGTACAGGTCTCATATATCCTCCACCAGCTCTCCCTACAGGTAACGTCTTACATTACGTGCCACGTGTGTCCACACTAGCTAATTTGCATTGCTGCAATGCTATTCAGAGGACTGTGAGCCCTATGAAAATGTCACCATATTCTGAAGTGTCTGTTTTCTGTTCCAGAACCCAATCCAGGATCTCACATTACATTGAATTGTCACGTCTTCATAATGTCTTTCAAAATGTGACAGATTTTCAGTTTCCTTGTTCTTTCACAAATACCACACTGTCTTGATTACTGTTGCTTTAATGGTAATTTCTAGACTCTGAGAGCTGAGGATACCGATACACCTGTGTGTTCAGTCAGTGGGAAATTTGGACACCTTTCTGTATTTATGAAATATTTCAACACAGTAATACAGACAAATGTCTGAGGCCGCCTTGTCAGTCACCGTCTCTGTGAGATGAGAGGGGTCATTTTCAACTTCCTCCCGTTCTTAATCACCTATGTGCAAGCCACGTCTGCATCCGATCCTTTCTCCCAAGTTAGTTGTGGCCCCACTCGGCCCTCTCCCTGGCTCATAACATTTCTAACCCCAGCCACTGGCACCACCTCACAGACGGCTGCCCCACCTCCCAGGCTCCTTGCTTTGCCTTCCGCCCTCCCAATCCATATATACACAGCACACATGAGAGGGCTCCAGGAGAGCCAGGAGGAGGAATGGGGGCATGTAAGTAGCAGGACTGGCATTAGGAGTGCCCTGGCAGGCAGCCCAGATGTCTAGGTAGCCACTGAGCCCTGGCTCCTGAGGGGATCAGCACCCAGGAGATGTTTATCCACCCCAAGAACGAGGGTGTCACCCCTCCTCTAGTGAGAGCCCAGGTGATGGGTGCAGGCTGCTCTTCCCTAAGCCCCTGAAGCGGGGACCCCCGAGCAGCAGCAACCCCCACTGGAGCCAGAGTCGGGGCACAGCAGCTGGGATGGAGCTTGATCCCCACAGATAGAGGAGGGAGGGAGTCACAGGCGAGCTCCAGGCTCTCCCAAGAGGCCTCTCAGAAACCAGCTCATCTGATGCAGACAGACACTCATCCCCATCCCTGTCCCTGCCACTGTCACACAGCGGCACACACACCCTCCCCTTCTTCTCCCCTTGATCATCCACCTCCAGAGCCCCAGCTCCTCCCTCCATCTCAGCCCCACTGCCTGTCCCTGTCCCTGCCCACTTCACCTGGCCCAATAGGCACCCGCCACATGTCAAAGGTGGCTGTGTGGGAGGTGGGGAGGCAGGGACACGGGTGAAGAAAGAAGACCCACCAACAGTGAGTCCTGAGGTCACAGGGACCTAGAGAGGAGTTACCCATCCCTGGTGACCCCAAACACCTCCTCCTACTCTCCCAGGGAGAAACCAGCGCCACACCTATACCAGGCCTAGTGGTTCCCTGGCAGACACCTCCTCCAGAACAGACACCTGCCTCCCAGCTCAGACCTGTCCCCATTGCCAGGTCAGCTCCCCACTTGCTAGTCTCCAAGACTTACCCAGCACAGAGAAGGCAGGAGTGAGAGGCCAGCTGTCCCCACCATCCTGGGGCAGTTCTTGTTCCAGTGGCCCCCCACCCTCCTAACTCCAGAGCCCTCTAAATCAAGGGACACCGCCAGAGCTGCCCTTTGGTCCAGCTCAAGGAAGATTAACCCTTTCCCTACCTTGCCCCAGCACTCCAGGCCTGCCCCTCTTGGATGGCTCCTAAACCAACCTCACCCAAGCTATTTGCCCTTCTAGGAGTCAGGTCCTATATCACCCTCTTCCCAAGGGCACAAGAGACCCAGGGGAGCCCTCCACCCAACTGGAGGACCCTTCACCTGGTCCTGGTCCTGGTCCTGCCTCCCCCTGGGTCCACCTACCTTGTAGCACTTCCCAAGCGGACTGGCACTGTCCTGGGCTGGCTGCTTACCTGTGTCAGGTGCCCTGGGCTCTGCCAACCACCAGCTCCCGACTCAGGGTGTCCTCCCTCACCCATTCCTGCAGCTTCTACCTGAAGCAGTAGCTGCCTTCTCTCTGTGCCAGCTGAACACCATGGGCTCCCAGCACCCAGCCAGCATCCACGCCTGGGGACTCCCTCATGGCAAGTGACAAAGGGAGACCGGAGGACAGGGGGCCAAAGGAGGGCAGAGGGCTGAAGGAGGACAGGGGACTGGAGGAGGGCAGAGGACTGGAGGACGGCAGGGGACTGGAGGAGGGCAGGGGACTGGAGGAGGGCAGGGGCCTAGAGACGGGCAGAGGACTGGAGGGAGGCAGGGGGCTGGAGGAGGGCAGGGGGCTGGAGGACGGCAGGGGCAGGGACCCGGACAGGGCTTCAGACAGACTGAATTGGGAGGGCAAGAAAGAGACCAAGGGTGCACAGTGAGACGCAGAGAACAGAGAAAGGGAAGGAATGAGGGAAAGACAGGGACGGGAGACAGGGACAGGAGACAGGGACGTGATACAGGAGACAGAGATGGGGGCTGCAGCCTCTGCATGAGGGATATAGGAACAGAGGAGAGGGCAGACGGGCTGGGGCATCCCTTGTGCTGGTTTTTAGATGCGGTTCTTGGGGTCTGTGAAAACAGCCGTCCTCCCAGGCCCCTGCTCCTTTGCCCCAGTACTAGCCCCTGGAGCAGCCCAGCCTGCAGAAACGAGGACTCCGCATGGAAACATCCCAGCGTTAACAAGGCAGAGTACAGCCGCGGGGCGGATAGGGGCGCTAGCCCACCTGGGAAACCCGCCTGGCCCATTACTGGGCACAGGATCTCACTGGTGGTCTCACATCCATCCTTTTAGGAATGGGACCAGGACTGGGGGGGCGGCACTGGTGACCAGCACTCACAGGGACCGCTCAGCTCACTAAGGTGGAGAGAGGAAGGAGGAGCGTGGTGGGAACCTCGCCCTCTCCTCCCCACCCTGGAGCGCCGCCTCACAGCCCAACCAAACAACACGGAAGAGACAACCACAGGAACAGCAGCTGCGGAGCTCCACGGCCTCCCTCTGCCCCCTGGTGGCGAGAAGGAAGAAAAGCAGGAGCAAGTGCTGAAAACGAAAAGGAAACTAGCAGCAGTCCCACTAACGACAATGGATCAGCCCTCATTTGGCCAACAGGTGACTCTACCCCAGGCTGGCCTGAGAGGACCCATTTCCCATCTCACTATTCTGCCCCAGTGCCCTGGATCCTGCCTCTACCACTTCTTCCCTGCAGCGTCTTCGGTTCCCCCACCGCTGTGAGCCAGGTTCCCCCTCCAGGCTGCTGGGCTGAGACTGAGTCACTTCTTCCCAGGCTGTAAATCCTGGGACAGCTCTGCAAGGCACCGTCACTAGGGACGGACTCAGGCAGCAGAGCCGCGCTCTCGTACCCCAGCCAGCCAGGCTCTCCTGGGTGAGTAGCAGGGGGACCCTGGAATTTACGGGGACAGAAGGGGAGTGATACCAGGAGCCAGGGAAGATAAATGCGTGGCAGAGAGGAGGGAGAGGAGGAGACACATGGAGCCGTTCATGGATTTCACACAGGATCTGGGCTGGAAGAAGCTGCCGAGACCATCAGTCCAATCCTTGGTCTACAGGTGGGGAAACTGAGGCTCAAGGAAGGTGAGTGATTTGCCCGAGATCACACAGTGAGTGCGTAGCCAGGCCAGGATGGAGACCCAGGTCTCTGGACTCCTGACCCCATCCTCCCTAAATCCCATGTCCCACCCACCTCCCTCATTTACCTCCGTTTCCCTTTCCCCTCCCCTCCACTGTGTCCCACTGCTGCACCACTGCCACCCCACTCCAAACTCCAGCGGCCACAGCCTGGGAGGCAGGACACCTGGGTTTTCCACTCCATACCTGGTCTTGACTAGGATCTCAGAATAAGGCCACCAGCTGTCGGGGCCACAGTGTCCCTCTCTGGGCCCCAGGACCCATCGAGAGGAGAAGAGGATGAGATCCCCCTGGAGAGAAAAGCAGTATTAAAACCAGGCGCCCTGCTCCGCACACACGCAGCATATGCTCAGCCCCAGCCCTGGGGCCATGCTTTACTTCTGCACCCTCTCCTCAAAGAACACACATTTTCCACTCAGCTGGGGCCCAGGAAACAATGAGTGGGTGTCTCGAGGAGGATGAGTACCTGGGCAAGGCTGAGGACACCCCATGGAGGAGGGGACACCCCCAGCCTAGTGTCCACATAGCATGAGCGTTCACGGGGTCACTTACACCAAGTCAGGACCCACAGCACAGGCCCTATGGGCACACAGACCTGAGTTCAAATCCTGGGTACCTCTGTGATGTTGAATAAAAGACTTACCCTCTCCAACTCCCTGTTTGTCCTGGTCTGAAATGGAGTTAATAACCTCCAGGATGATGTGGGGATTGAATGGGGCAAGGGCATCAAGTGTTAGTACAGTGTCACCCAGGGACTGCTCAATCGGTGGAGACCACACCATCATCTTCACACGCTGGCCTACAAGACAGTGCTGGGATTTTCCCCCCACTAGGTAACTTGCTGTGTCACCCGAGATAAGTCACTTCCCCTCTATAGTCTCTGCATACTGCTTTATGTAAGGAGAGAGCTGGGCAGTGAGGCCAAGGGTCTTTCCTGGGCTCACATCCAAGTCGGAAGGAATCACATCATTTTCAAGTACCCATGGCAGAAGAGGCAGCCATCCTCAAGATCACCAAAGACCTAAGAGGTGAGTGTGTCCTGAGAGATGTTCTGGGACTGAGTCGCGGGAGAAGTCAGGGTCTGGGAGCCCCTCCCTCAGGGGCCTCGCTACTCGATGCCTGACGCCTGCCATCCTCCCTGCAGCTGCCGTCTCTGCCATCCTCCAGGGCTATGGGGATGGGCAGGGGCCAGTGACGGATACCAGTGCCGAGCTGTACAGACTCTGTGGCTGCCTGGAGCTGCTGCTACAGGTGGGACCTTCTCCTCCCCCTCCCCATCCTTCTCCCCAGACCCAGACAACTGGCAGGACATTCCTGGAAAACAAGGGAGGAGCCACAGTCCCATTCCTTACCATGCACTATGCCATTTCCCTCTCCCTCCTGACACCTGACCTCACTCTTGGAGGCTGTCACTGCAGCCTGAGAAGCGAGGTGAGGCAAAGTGGGGCTGGAAGGGACCTGGGCCTTGGGGCGGGACACAGACCTGGGGGTAGCCACCACTGTTTAAAGCTTCAGAGGCATGGATGTCCTAGGACTGGCCCTTCCTGCTGCTACTCAGAGCCCCAACTATGACCAGCACCAGCTTTTATTGAACACTTGCTATGTGTCAGGCTTTGGCCTCTATATGCCTGGCTTTGTGCAATCCTCACTCTCACCCTCTGAGTTGCTTGATGTCCACCCCCCAACACCCCAACACACACCTTCCTACTTCTCTGACTTCATCTCTTGCCAGCCTGCCACTCATCTGCTGCACTCCAGCTCCCCTGGCCTCTTGGATCTTCCTGGAGCACACCAGGCATGCTTCTGCCTCAGGGCCTTTGCACGTGCTCTCCCCTCTACCTAAAATGCTCTTCCACTGGAATGCACAGCACACTTTCTCAGCTCCTTCAAGCTAGAAGGCTTTTCTTTTTTTGTTTGGGTTTTTTTTTTTTTTTTTTTTTTTTTTTTTTTGAGACGGAGTCTCGCTCTGTCCCCCAGGCTGGAGTGCAGTGGCGCCATCTCAGCTCACTGCAAGCTCCGCCTCCCGGGTTCACACCATTCTCCTGCCTTAGCCTCCCGAGTAGCTGGGACTACAGGCACCCGCCACCTCGCCTGGCTAGTTTTTTGTATTTTTTTAGTAGAGACGGGGTTTCACCATGTTAGCCAGGATGGTCTCCATCTCCTGACCTCATGATCCGCCCGTCTCGACCTCCCAAAGTGCTGGGATTACAGGCTTGAGCCACCGCGCCTGGTGCTAGAAGGCTTTTCTGGACACCCTAGATTTTCAACACACCTGCCACACACACCACACACCACACATACACCCACCACATTTTCCATTCTCTTTCCTGCTTTATTTTTTTCTCCGTAGCAGTCATCACTATCTAACATACTCGATGCTTTACTTATCTCATCTGTTTGTTGTCTTAACTCTCCTGTCGAGATGTAAGCTCCATGAAGTCAATTTGTTCATAGCTGTATCCCCAGAACATAGAACAGGGCCTGGAACATAGTCAGTGCTCAATAAGGACCTCTGAATGAATGAATGAATGAATGAATGAATGAGAACACTGAGGCTCAGGGAGGTCAAACACCTTGCTCATGGTCACACAGCCAGTAAGGACAGGGCTCGGTCGGGATGCCGGGTGTGTCTGCAGGAGCCCTCTCTTCCAGCAGGTGTCCCCTCAGCACGCTAGAATGCAGGGTGTGTTCTAGGAGGAAGCATTTCTACACTTTCTTTGCCTCATTTTGGTTCTAGTTTGACCAGAAAGAGCAGAAGAGCTTCCTGGGGACTCGGAAGGATTACTGGGACTTTCTCTGCACTGCCCTACGACGGCAGCGGGTGGACATGGAGCCAATCCACTTTGTCCGTTCCCAGGACAAGGTATCCAGGGCCAGGCAGCGAGAAAGCTGACAGGGTGGGGGTGGACATAGGCCTGCTCCTTCTCCCACATCCTGCTCTACCGACCATAGACCGCTCACTTGCTCCGCATGTCTCCTAAACCCTGCCCGCAGCACCCCTCCAGACACCCTTTTCCTCCCATGGCCTCAGGTCCCCCCACACCCTTCCCATTGCCCAGCACTTCCAGTCCCCTCCCTCTGTGTTTCCTGGGCACCCTCTGTCCTAATACCACCCCCCCTTCTGCCCCTGTGCACTCTGCAGTTGAAGACCCCTCTGGGGAAAGGCCGTGCCTTCATCCGCTTCTGCCTGGCCCGTGGGCAGCTGGCTGAGGCCCTGCAGCTCTGCCTCCTAAACCCAGAGCTCACCAGGTGGGGCTGCTGGGACATCCTCCTGCCAATGCCATCTGAGCCACTTTCCCTCCTTTGTAAAAGAGGCCTCCTTCACCCCCCATGGATGGCTTTCTATCAAGGACCGTTACGATAAGAGTCATGAAGGAAAAATTAAGGGAGAAAAGGCAGAGGGAGGTTGGAACCCAGGAGTCCTGGCAGCATCAGGGTTCTTGGGCCTCCTGCTCCTGAAGGGCCACGACTCTGCCTGGGGACCAGCCTCATGACGGTGTTGAGGTTGAGCTGGGGTGGGGGTGGTTGGGGTCGAGGGAAATAGCCCCAAGGTCAAAGGCCAAAGGTTCTGATCACTGTTAACACAGGGAATGGTATGGACCCCGCAGCCCTCTGCTCTGCCCAGAACGCCAAGAAGACATCCTGGACTCTCTCTATGCTCTCAATGGGGTGGCCTTCGAATTGGACCTCCAGCAGCCAGACCTGGATGGAGCCTGGCCCATGTTCTCAGAGTGAGTGGGTGCGGCCAGGAGGGAAGTTTCTTTTGACACCTGATCCCATGGCCACCAAGGGTCCCAGGCGAGCCCCAAGCCCTCGGCCCCCAGCCCCGTCTGTCTCTGCCTCCTTTTGCTCCATGACTTTGGATCCTTCTAGACTTCGATGTTCCCAGTGCAAATTCATGGCATAATGCAGCCTAGAATACGCACTCACTAACGACTTCCTGGGTGGTTGAGGTGGCGGGCTGGAGGATGAATGGATACCAGGATGCTGGGAGGGAAATGAAGGCAGGATGGGATGCATGAGGGTGGGTGGGCAGGAAGGGGGAAGTGTCATGGGATGAATGGGCGAGTGGAAAGATGGGATACCCTCCATCTGAGGGCCAAGCCCACCACCGAAGAGAAGCCCAGGGTCCCCCTGCCTCTTTCACTTTCAGGTCACGCTGCTCCAGTTCCACCCAAACCCAGGGAAGGAGACCCAGAAAAACCAAAGATGCCCCGAAGAAGGTGCCGCTGCCTCTGCCCCGCCTTCACTCTGAGTTGCCTCTTCCCCATCTCCTTGGCGTCCCCAGTTTGCGTAGTAACTGAGCTTCCCCCTCTGAGTGTACAGAGAGCCCTGACCCAACTGGACAGACAGAGCAAGAGGCCAGTGTGTGGAGCAGGGGCCTGGGGAGAAGCAGAGGAGGAGAGGGCTCCTATTCCTGGGGTGGGGACACTGGGAGAGAAAGGGAACTCTAGCACCCTCTGCCGAAGCCACTGGGCCCAGAGGAGGAGAAAGTTCCAAGGGGGGCAGGCCACTGAAAGCTTCAGGAAACAGATGAGAGAGATGCCCTCTGCTGAGTCCCCTGCACTGGACAATAGACAAACAACTCAGTTCAGTTCAAGAAGCGACTAAAGACCCAGGTTGCCTGGTCGAATTCCAGCCCCACCCCTTACAAACGATGGTTCTTGAACAAGTTACTTGTCCTGCCCCATAGGGATATTGTGAGGATGAACTGAGGCAACTCACATCCAGCACTGCACAGGGCTCCTGGCTACACGCTCCCCTCATGGCACCGTGTGATCACCTTCATTGTTGTTATCATCATCCCACAAGCACATTTTGCACCCCCACCAGCTTCCAGGCACTGGGTACAGATACTATTAGTTCTCTGGTCTGAAAAGTTCAGGGTCTCTTCTTGGAGACAGATCATAAAGAAAAGCATTGCAATATATGAGTTCAGTGTAAGTGACACAGAAATGAACAGAGGAACATGGGAGCACAGAGAAGGCTTCTTGAGAAGTTGCTCTTAGCTGAGTGTTGGTCTAGTCAAGATTTCATCACAACCCTAAAACCGGATATTATCATTCCCATTTTGCAGATGAAAAAACTGAAACACGAAGTGTAGTTCAGGGCGAAGAATTAAAGGAAAGGGGTGGGTGGAACTTAGGGGGAGCCAGATCAATACCCAAGACCCAGGTGCAGAAAGGAGAAGGATGCGGACAGGAGAAAGGGAGAGAAGGACATCAGGATGTACTGCTGTCCCTCACCAGACCAAAGCATGGCGCTCAGATCACCTGGGTGTTGCTAAAAGTCAGATTTGGGGTTTGATAAATCAAAGTTTCCAGTGAGAGGACCTGGTACCTATCTATTTAGCAAGCCCATTAGATCAGCACTGTGGCCTCTCCCACGCACCAGGTCAGTGAATTGGTGCTGAGAGGGATGACTGGTTTGGGGTCCTCTCCACAGATCCCAGCTGCATATGGAAGGCCCGAAAATGTCCAGATTGAGGACTCACACACCAATCAAGCTGTCTGTCTGCAAGATGCACCCAGTGGACAGCAGCTGGCAGGGCTGCCCAGGTCCCAGCAGCAAAGGCATCTTCCTTTCTTTTTGGAAAAGAAGGGGGGAAATTCCAGGAGACATAGGTACCCCCAGAGTATGTGGGAACCAGAAGAAGAGGAGCTTCAACTAGACCAGGAGGAAGGAACCCCATGGATTGAGATGTTCCTGGGGAACTCAACACCCAGCACCCAGGGACAGGGGAAGGGGGCTATGGACACTCAGAAGGAGGTGATAGGGATGGAGGCTGAGGGCACAGGGGTTCTGCTGGGTGCAGAGGGTCAGAGAACAACAGAGGAGACTCATGAAAAGGAACCAGAGTGGAGTCATGTCCAGAGGCTGCTGATGCCCAGCCCCAGAGGGACCATAGCGGGAACAGTATCAGGGAGCAGGCAGGGATCGGGGGACTCTAGCATCCTGGGGGAGCCCTGGGTCCTTCAGGGACTCACAACAAAGGAAGACTCTACCATGGAGAATCCACAAGTGCAAACAGAAGTTACCCTTGTGGCCAGAAGGGAGGAGCAAGCCGAGGTGTCCCTGCAGGACGAGATCAAGGTGAGAACAGTTGAGCTCCATACCTGGTTATTCTCCCCTCTCTGACCTGGCCCACACATGAGGGTCTGAAATGGTAGCCTGGGACCATTCCCTCCCATGGATCAATTTTTATTGGCCCACTCAGGATTATTATTTGGGAATGCCTTTGAAAGCCATGCATTCTTCAGGTCACCACAGTCCCCACATCTCCCTATTGCCTCACGCTAGACCCACTTTATTCGGCAATACTTCTTACCCAGCCCCAGTAGCATTGGAGTTTGAGATCCCTTCCCAACAGTTCTTCCAGGCAGTCACTTCCTCTCCAGTTCCATATCCTCATGATGGTAGGTCTCATCCCCAAATCTAAGTTCTACTGTTGCAGAGCCCACCTAGTTGCTCCTGTAGTAGATGCTTCTCCTGGAGGTCACTCAAGATTGTCACCAAGCCTTCCTTCAGCTTCCACCCAGGAACTTGCAAGTTTCTGAGTTTACAACTTCCACCCTTCAGTGAAGGAAGAAACAGTGGCCCAGCCTCACCCAGAAGTAAGGCCTAGGACAGAGTCAGGCATCACAGCTCCCAGCACTGTCCCCAGCCCTGCCAGGGCATGGCCTGGGATCTCTCGGGAATGTTGTTCAGGTCAGCCCCGGTGTTGGGGTCTCTGTCCTTCTCCTTCAGCCTCCTCCTCCCCTCCTTCCAATCCCCAGAGCCTCAGACTTGGGCTCCGGAAGGCCGAGGAGCAGGCCCAGCACCAGGAGCAGCTGCTGAGGAAGCAGGAGGGGGAGTTGCAGGCACTTCGGGAGCAGCTCAGCAGGTAACCTTGGCAACCAACAGCACAGGGCACCGGGAGGTGCTCCCTGAGTCCTGCTGTCAGTCACGGTCAAGTCAGTGAGGTCTTGTGAGAACCTCCTGTGTACCACACCCTGGGCTGGGCACACCTTTGGGATCTGAGGCCTGTAGGGCATTGCTCCTGATCCCAGGGCTCCACCCTCCCTCCCCTGTGCATCCCTTTCTCATAGGCCTCCCAGAGCAGCCCCAGGAGAGGCCCCACCTCCTGGCCTGCTTCCCTCCCACCCTCACCCCTGCCTCCCTCTGCTGCCTCCCCTGGGCAGCTCCTCTCTCTTTTCCACCCTCTGCCTCCCTACTCCACTGGGCTTCTTTCCCGCATCTCTTTCTGTCTCCCTCTTTTACTCGGTTTCTTTGTGTCTCATTTGCTTTTTCCTGTTACGCCACCTCTCACCCTCACATAATCATAGCTATCATTTACTGAGCATTTACTATGTCCTGGGCCCTGCTGTAGGTGTTTCTGCATAACACCCTTATGAGATGAGTTCTATAGAACCCCCATTTTATAGAGGAGGAAGCTGAAGCTCAAAGATGCTGCACAATTCACCCACCATTGGCTAGTTAGCAGGGGAGCTGAGATTCAAAGCCTGCGGCTGACTCCAGAATCAGTGAGCTCAGACGCCTGGCTCAGGCAGCATGTCAGGTGCCTGCACTTCAGTCTCTCCGTTTCTCTTGCTCAGTGTCTCTCACCATCCAGTGTCTTCATCTTCCGTCATCACATTGACCTCAGGGGCCCACAGCACGCTGTCTGTCTCTACCATGCCCCTCAGTCCTCAGTCTCTCAGGTCTCAGTTTCTCTCTCTCTCTCTTTTTGTAGAGACAAGGTCTTACTACATGGCGCAGACTGGCCTCAGATTCCTAGGCTCAAGCTTCAGCCTTCCAAAGTGCTAGGGTTATAGGCATGAGCCAGCACACCCAGCCCATAATGTATTTGTTAAAGTCTCTTCTCCCTGCAGAGATCTTCCGTGGCCTGAATCAGCCTCTCTGTGTCTCTCTCCTGTGGTCTCCGGGTGCCTCGGTCTGCCCACCTGCCCCTGTCTCTCCCTCCCACATGGCTAACACCTGCCCCAGGTCCAACAGACACCAGTCAGACTCCAGCAGGGCCTGAGTAGCTGTGATTCAGCCTGAATCACTGGGAAGCCTGCTGACTCTCTGCTTCGCAGGGGAGAGAGGCCCAGGAGCCCAGAAATCAACCCAAAAGGGCCCCTCGGGCTCCTCCCACTCCACACTCAGCTGAGCCCACAGTGTGGTCAGCAAAGGTTTCCATGATTCAGGGCCCAAATGACCATGGGGGTTCTGCCCACACGAGAGTCTTCAAGGGATCAAGACAAGCTAGGAGGAGCAGCTGGGAGGTTGTAGAGATACGGCCTGGCCCTGGCTGCTCCCTTTGCTGGGGGCCCTGTCTCACAGACCACAGTGCTCCGGCCACCTGTCACTCATCATTCAGTCATTCCACAAACACTCTGTGCACCCACTCTGAGCCAGGCCTGTCCTAGGTACGGGAAATCCTCTCACAGACAAAACAGGCCAAACACCTGCCTTCGTGGAGCTCGCATTCTAGTGGGGTGAAGCAATAAATGTGATTAGCAAGTGAAGTACCTAGGATGTCAGATTGGAATAAGTTATAAGAAGAAGACATAAAGCAGACAAGAGGAACGGGACGTGTTGGTGTGGTATTTTACATTTTAATAAGGTAACATGGCCAGGGAAGACCTCCCTGAAAAGATGACATTGATCTAAAGACCTGAAGGAAGTGAGGATCGAGCCCTTTGACTATTCGGTAGAATGTTCCAGGCCGCAGGGACAGCAAAAACAAAGGCCCTGATGGGGGACGGGCAGGGCAGCTTCTAGGAACATCAAGGACGCCTTCCGGGCCCCAGTAGCGTGAAGGAGGGAGAGGATGTGGGAAAAGGTCAGGTGAGCCAAGGAGGCAGGTTAGAGAGAGTCTGCGAGGTCATCGGAAGGGCCTTGACTTTGACTCAGAGGAAGATGGGAGCCACTGAGGGCTCAGAGCAGGAGAGGGACTTGACTTTTTTTAATGTCAAAAAGATGTTTATATGCTTTTTCAAATGCTTAACAATTAAATGGTTTTTAGTATATTCAAGAGTTATGCATCCACCACCTCAATCAATTTCAGAACATTTCCATCTCCCCAAAGAGAAACCCTGTACCCATTAGCAGCCATTCCTCATTCCTTTCCCAGCTCTAGGCAACGCCAGTCCACTTCCTCTATAGATCAGCCTGTTAGAGGCTGACATGTTTTTTGTTGGTGGTGGTTTTGTGGTTTTGTTTTTGTTTTTGTTTTTGAGACAGAGTTTCGCTCTTGCTGCCTAGGCTGGAGTGCAGGGATGCCATCTCGGCTCACCACAACCTCTGCCTCCTGGGTTCAAGTGATTCTCCTGCCTCAACCTCCTGAGTAGCTGGGATTACAGACGCCCGCAACCATAGCCAGCTAATTTTTTTGTATTTTTAGTAGAGATGGGGTTTCGTCATGTTGGCCAGGCTGGACTCAAACTCCTGACTTCAGGTGATCCACCCACCTTGGCCTCCCAAAGTGTAGAGATTACAGGCATGAGCCACGGTGGCCGGCTTCATGTGTGTTTTAAAGGCCCCTTGGAGTTGGCCTGTTAGCAGGCAAGCTGAACACAGAGAGTCCAGTGAGGACCCTACCGCACAAGGGAGAGTGGGGGTGCTCAGACTGGGCTGGCAGCATGGAGCAAGGAGAAGCTGCTGGGCTTTGGATGAAGTGTGAAGTAGAACTTCCTGAGGAATTGGATATGCGGTCTGAAAGAAAGACAGAAGTTGAGAATGACTCTGAGCTTTTCGACCTGATCAGCTGGAAAGCTAGAGTCACTGTTAACTGAAGCATGCGGGCTGTGGGAGGGCAGGTTTGTGGGGAAAGTCAGAGCTTGGTTTTGAACATGTTATGTTTGAGACACCTGTTAGACATGTTAGACAAGGACCGCTGGACAAGCAACTGAGTGTGGAACTCAGGAGGGAAGTGTGGGCTGGGAGATCGATCCTGGAGTCCTCAGAGTAAGGATGGTGAGTAAAGCTGATCCTGAGGCTCAGAAGAGGATGTGCTACCCTGATGCCTGGGACCCAGGGAGCTAAGGACAAAGCTCACTCCCAAGAAAGGAGCCCATGGGCATCAAGCTGGCGATGAGTTCCTCAACACAGAGAATAGAAGTGCTGAGGGACCCATTCATTCCATGGACATTTATTATGCTTCCACAGTGGCCATGAGCAGGTGTGGTGAACAAACCTGGCCCAGCCTGCTCTAGAAGACCTGGGACAGATAAACAGATAGCAATCCAATGGCAAACAGATAAACAGATAGCAATCCAATGGCAGGCAGGTAAACAGATCCAATGGCCATTGGATAGATGCTAGGGAAACAAAGGCAGGGAAGGGCGCAGACAAAGACAGGATAGTCATTCAGACTGGGGGCCAGGAAGTCCTCTCTGAGGTGACGTTTGAGCAGAAGCCCCAACCACATGAGAGACTGGACTGTTCAAATATTAGTGAGAAGTGCTGTGGCCAGAGGAATGGCCAGAAGACATGCGTTTGTGGACAGGCAGGCCAAATGCATACGGGGTATGGCTGAGCAGAGGAGAGAGGGGCAGAGCCGGAGGCAGGGGCCTCAAAGGCAGAGTGAGGCGCTGGAATTCTTCTTTGTGCTACCAGAGGCTGGGGCAGGGTTTAGAGCAGGGACGTTTCTCCGTCTGACTTCTGTATTTAAAGGCTCACTCAGGCTGTGGTATGGAGGACAGTGGAAGGGTGGTAGAAGTCCCACGCAGAGCACAGACTGGGGGCAGAGGTGAGCCACAGCCGACCTGAAGGCGGCAGGCCCAGGGCAGGCCCTTGGGGCTGTGAAAATGGACTTTGGGCTGAGACATGGAGCTTCCAACACCCACCTCACAGCTTTCTGGCTGTGGGCCCCTGGGGACAGTGGCCTGCCCTCTCTGGGTCTCAGGTCCCTGATTTGCAAAACGAGACGGTGGGATGGCTAAGGTTCCTCCTCCCAGCTCAGATGCTCGTGACGCAATCTTTCCAAGCAGGTGGGTGTCCTCTGCACTGGGAGTAAGACCTCGAGCAAAAGAAATTAGGACAAGCATCAGCTGAAGAGGTCCTCAGGATGGGGAACTAGGCAGATGTCACATGTCCCCCCAACCCCTGCACAGCAGCACTGAGCTCCTTTGAGGCCTGCCAGACTCCATCAGCATCCTTCCCTCCCTCCCTCCCACCTGCTGCCCACTTGGCACCGGTGCCAGGAATCACTGGTGATCAAGGCTTTACCTGGATGAAGGTGTAGGGAGGCAAAAGAGCCACAGATCTGGGCTGGTCTGTGTCCAGATTTCTGCTCCCTCCACTCATCAAGCTGTGTGACCCTGGGCAAGTGTCACCCCCTCTCTGAGGTTCTACTCTTCTCTCTTGTAAAATGAGGATTATATTATCTGTCTCTTAAAATTGTGAAAACTAAATGAATGGGGCCATAAAACACTAAGCTTGGGCCTGGCATATAGTAAGTGCTCAGTAAATTAATTCCCCTTCCATGTCCCCTCATGTGCTAGAAGTATCCATCACTCCCTGATTAAAATACTTCAGGGCTCCCCATTTCACTGAGATTAACATCCACTTTTCCTGGGCCACTGGCAGACAGCTCAGGTCCTGCCCACCTCCCCACTCCTCTCCTGCCTTCCCAGCCCCCCACTGCCCTTTGTGGCAGCCCAGAATCATTCGTCTTTCAGTTCCTCAAACAAGCTCAGCTCTTTCCAACTTGCAGACCTTTGCATGTGCCCACGCCTGGCTCTACATTGCTGATTTTTCATCTTCTAGTTCAGCTTCCATTTCACCTTGTCTGAGGAGCCTCTCCAAGAGCCTTCCGTGGTCTCTGTCTTAGCCTCTCCTTTGTCTCTGTCGTAGCACTTAGTTTAGTTATTTTAAGAGTCTATCATTTATTTTACCCCTGCCGCAAACACTGTAAGATCCATAGGCTCTGCTTTATTCCTGGCACCTAAACATCCCCTGGCACACAGTAGGTGCTAAGTAAGTGTTCTCTCCCACCCAAGAGACACATGCACACACCACGGTGATCACATTAAGGGCCCAGGATCACAGGGCAAGTAAACTGGCTCGGGAAAATTAAAGTCAGCAGCTAAGAAATGAGATGCCAAAAGACTAGAATGTTCATTAAAATTAAAAACATGGCCCTGCTCCGTGCCTGAGCACCAGAACGCTCTTGGGGTTGCAGTGACTGAACTCTGGAATGTCAGTGGCTGGGCTGCTAACAGTTTGATGTCACGGCCCACCCAACTTTCTTCCCTGCAACATGCTAAAAGGGGGTGTTTTAAAATTGCATGTTCAATTCATTGTCAAGCCTCTTGCAAGCCTCTTCCACTCAAACACGCTCAAGCCCCAGGACACACACCGGCACAGACACGTACATGCACCCTGAGCACCGGGACTCTCACCCGTGCCATCTGCCGTTGCAACGCCCTCCCAGCTGAGCCAGGGGCCTCCCAACTGAGCCAGAGGCTGGGCCCTGGGACCAGGTCTTTTTTATTTCCAGTCCAGTGGTCTTCTTGGAATTTTTCAGAAAACCACTACAGACAAAAAGAAAAACCAAGAGTGGAACTGAGACGCTACCAAGCCCAAAACTAAAACAAATTTAGGAAAGCCATATTTTTACTATTTCTTTTTAATTGAAAAGACAATGTAACATAACTTTTTAAAAAATATTTTAAAGCAAAAAATCGCTCTAAATCCTTCACTGTTCCCCTTCCACACACAATTATTTCCAGCTGGGCACCGACCATCCAGCCTGGGTTCCCAGGTATCTGCCTTCCCTCCAGAGAGCAGCCATGATAGTGAACACACCTTTCAAGAAAGTTACATTTGAAATGGAAATGTTTGAAAACAAAGCCGGGAGGAGGAAATGTTGGCTCATCCCCTCCCTCTAAAGGAACACTCAGGGCAGGGCCCTGTTTTCATTTCTCTAAATAGTTGGTGAGGAGTCAGTTCGTAGGTGTCAGGCAACACACAGTGTGCAGTTCAGTGTGTGGTGTGTGCATTGTATGTATGTGTGTAAACGCACACACATTGTGTGCATGTTGAGTTGTGTGTCTGCCTTATGGATGTCTGTTGTATGTGTTGTGCAAGTGTGTGTTTATATGTTGTGTTGTTTGTGTTCTGTTTATGTGTGTGGTGTGTGCATTATGTATGTGTTGTGTGTATTGTATTGTGTGTGCGTTATATATGTTGTGATATGTGGTGTGTCATGGTGTGTGTATGTATTGTATTATATGTATAAATTATATGCGTGTAGCATTGTGTGTCTTCTGTGTTGTGTATATGTGTTCTGTTATACCTTGTGTGTATTAGGGCGTGTGTTGTGTTGTAGATGTGTGTGCTATGTGTTGTGTATATGCTGTGTTGCATTTTGTGTTGTATTGCATGTGTTGTGTGCTGTGTTGTGTGTGCATGTTATGCATGTGCATTGTGTTGTGTGATTGTGATTGTGTGGTGTGTACAATGTGTTGTTACGTGTGCATTATGAACGTGTATGTAGTGTGCTGTGTCTGTGTATGCTGTGTAGTATGTGTTATATGTGTGTTGTGCATATATGTTGTGTTTGTGTGTTGTGTTATGTGTATGGGTTACATGTGTGTTGTGCATATATTGAGTTGTGTGTATGTGTTATACTGTGTGTTGTGTATTTGTTGCATTGTCTATATGTGTTGTGTGTGTGCCGTGTGTTGTATTGTGTGTGTTATGATATATAGGGGTTGTTGTGTTGTGTGTATTGTCTTGTGTGTATATGTTGTGTGTGTTGTGTATATGTGTTCTGTTGGGTGTTGTATCTGTTGTTATGTGTGGTATTGTGTGAGTACATTGTGTGTGTTGTATTGTGTTTTGTGTTGTGTATATGTGTTGTGTTTTTGTGTGAATGCTGTTATGCGTATGGGCTACATTTGTGTTGTGTTGTGTATATGTTGAGTTGTGTGTATGTGTTATATTGTGTGTTGTCATTGTGTTGTGTATATGCATTGTGTGTATGTGTTGTGTGTAGTATTGTGTGTGTTACAATGTGTGGGGGTTGTGTGTGTTGTGTGTATTGTATATAGGTGTTCTGTTGGGTGTTATGTCTCTTGTGTTATATTGTATTATGTGTGTGCATTTTGTGTGTGGTGTGGTGTGTATTGTTGTGTGTGTGTGTATGTGTGTGGACTTCAGCTACTGGGGGCATCACCAGTGTCTCCCATGGGCTCCCTATCCGGCAGAGGCCCAGCCTAGCTCAGGCACAAAGGCTGAGTTTTGCCCCCTGAGAACTTAGTCTTCCTTCTGTACCCAGGTGTCAGGAAGAGAGAGCCGAGCTGCAGGCACAGCTGGAGCAGAAGCAACAGGAGGCTGAGAGGCGGGACGCCATGTACCAGGAGGAGCTTGGAGGGCAGCGGGACTTGGTCCAGGCCATGAAGAGGCGGGTGTTGGAACTGATCCAGTAAGGACGGGGACAGTGGGAAAGGGGAGACAGATGGGGGAACGGTAAGGAATGTGGAGCCCGGAGCATGAGAATTCTACTCCACTCACAGCTCCCAAGCAGGGTTCTAGAACTTTTACATATGCTAACTCTTCTGTTTCTTTTAGCCACTCCCTGCTGTTATCCCCATTTTACAGAAAAGGAAACTGAGGGTCAGAAATAAGACAGACTTGGCCGGGTGCAGTGGCTCACACCTGTAATCCCAGTACTTTGGAAGGCCGAGGTGGGCGGATCATGAGGTCGGGTGTTCAAGACCAACCTAGCCAATGCAGTGCAATGCAGTGAAACCACATCTATACTAAAAATACAAAAATTAGCCGGGCATGGTGGCGCGTGCCTGTAGTCCCAGCTACTTGGGAGGTTGAGGCAAGAGAATCACTTGAGCCCAGAAGGCAGAAGTTGCAGTGAGCCAAGATCACACCACTGCACTCCAGCCTGGGGAACAGAGCGAGACTCCATTTAAAAAAAAAAAAAAAAAAAGGCAGACTTGGTCACCTAGGACACATAGCATATTAATTGTATAGAGTCCCCTGACAATAATGCACACCACCACCCGGACCCACTCCCACATACACACACCTACTGAGGTTAGGGAGGAAAAAGAACCATGGGTTGAGAAGGAATTGGGAGAAGGAGGAAAAAGACACCAGGGAGAACCCAGAGGTGATCACGTGTCCTACACCTACCTGCCCACGGGACTTCGTCAGGCCCTGGGCCTGTGGACCTGCCCTGGGTCAGCTGTCCTAGGTTCCAGAGGCTGGGCTCACCAGGGTCAGCTCCAAACCACTAAGCTCACTGAGAGACAGGGAAGATGCGGAAAGCATAATTCCTGCCCTTTAGTTGGGTAGAGAGTTCACATACATATGTTATCCTCTCATACAGTTCAGGAAACAGGAGACCAGTGGACTCAGGTTCCATTAAAATTGGAAGGTTGCTAAGGGGTCTTTTTTTTTTTTTTTTAACAGAGTCTAGCTCTGTCACCCAGGCTGGAGTGCAGTGGCGCCATCTCAGCTCACTGCAACCTCTACCTCCCGGATTCAAGTGATTCTCCTGCCTCAGCCTTCCAAGTAGCTGGGACTACAGGTGCGTGCCACCATGCTGGGCTAATTTTTGTATTTTTGGTAGAGAAAGGATTTCACCATGTTGGTCAGGCTGGTCTTGAACTCCTGACCTCAATCAATCCACCCAGCTCGGCCTCCCAAAGTGCTAGGATTTCAGGTGAGGGGTCATTTAGAACTAAATCCTCTTACACAATATCCAAATGGTATTAAGGGTGAGAAAAAGGAGACATCAACTTGGAAAGGACAAACAATAATTTAAGGAATAGTTCCTCCAAAGGATTTACTGTCAATTTGGAGGAAGAGAGATATAAAAAGTGAAGTATTGACCTCATGAAATAATTTAAGATAGCCAACAATAAAAGACATATATACGTGATTGTTAAAGAAAACTAGAAAATTAAATGGAACATGGCCGGGTGCAGTGCCTCACAGGCCTGTAATCCCAGCACTTTAGGAGGGCAAGGTGGGTGAATCACCTGAGTTCATGAGTTTGAGACCAGCCTGACCAACATGGTGAAACCCTGTCTCTACTAAAAATACAAAAATTAATTGGGTGTGTTAGCGGGCACCTGTAATCCCTGCTACTCAGGAGGCTGAGGCAGGAGAATCACTTGAACCCAGGAGGCGGAGGTTGCAGTGAGCCGAGATCATGCCACTGCACTCCAGCCTGAGCGACAAGAGTGAAACTCCATCTCAAAAAAAAAAAAGAAAGAAAGAAAATTAAATGGAACATGTAATAGAAAACAAAAAGTATATATCCCCCAAAGTGTTGGGATTAGGGTTAGCATTAGAACTCAGCACTGAGCATATTGGTAGCAGGATCAAAAAGGGAAAGACAGAGTGACTAAATCTCACTTCCCATCCAAAGAAAATATACTAGTTCATCAGCACTAGTTTCCCAGTGCAAAGGTGATTAATCACAGGTTCTCAGGCAGGAAACATTAAACTATGTAATACAATGTCCCTGGAAGAAGCTTATGGAAAATACAACCCTAAGCAAAAAACGAAAAGAAAAAGGAAAAAAAATAGCCACCAAGGTTGACTTCTGCGTCAGGATGGTGGACTGCCCACATCTTATCTATTCTCCATCCTGAAATTTCTCTAAAATGACTATAAAAGACTAAAACCTAAAACGGAGAGAAAAGTGGAGGAGCTAACCACAGAGGAGAGATTTCAACTAATTTCCAGAAGCTGGAAAATGGATGGAGAAGTGGATACTGTGTGAAGCCCAAGTTTTTTGTAGGACCCAGAGATCCCAGAGCCACAGATGGCAGAAGTGAGATGAGAGATAAAGTCATTAGAAAGAACAGTCCATACCTGCTGCCTTCTGCCTGCCTCCTCACATGCAGAATATCCAGCACTCAGGGGCGTATCTCCCAAGCAAACGACCAAAAGATCCTTCACTAAAGGAATTTAAGTGCCCCAAATAAAAGACCAGTTTGTCCTGGCATTTGGGTGTCTGGTTGTAGCAGGTAGCTCCCTGCCCAGTCCCCACTAAAGGGAAGCCACTAGTCAACCATTCCTGTCCACTATTCAGAGCTCTAAACAGCTTTTATTGCCTCTTTCTTACACATAAAATGACAACCAAGGATCCCCAGATATTTGAGGAGAGTCTAGAACATAAAGGGAAGAGATGAAGATAAACAAAGGAAAAAGATCCATCTTCCATGAAACAGGATGCTATAAAAAGCATCTGTCAAAAGAGAAACATTCTTGGAAATTAAAAATTAAATTAAAATTATGATCACTGAATTTTTCTCTATTCACTAAAATGATTAGAAGAGAAAGATGAGGCAGCCTCTTAGAAAGTAGAGTAAAAAGCATAGAGAGATGGGAGTCAGGAGAGAAATAATTAAACATACAGATAATCAGTCTCTGAATTCCAATGTCCTTTCTAACTGTGAGGAGAGAAACAAATGAAACATAGCAAAAATTAAGATGTGAGAGAATTCCCCAGCTCTGATGGACACAGATCTTCAGATTTGAAGATTTCACTGAGCAAAGAATTGACAAACAAAACAAAGCCCACAGATACATCATTATGAAATTTCAGTAAAACAGATAAGGAGAATGTCCTAAGATTGTCTAGAAAAAAAAGACAGATCACCTATAAAAGAAGTAGAAATCATGTAAACAGTCTATGGTGCAATTCTTTTTAAGTTCTGAGAAAAACTGACGTTTGCCCTAGAATCTTGTTTCCAGACAAACCATGAATGAAGTGGGGGAGGTGGTGGAGTAAAGACATTTTCACATAGACAGATTTCAGAAAATTTACCTCCCACATAGCCTTTCATAGGAAGTTAGTTGAGGATGTGCTCCAGAAAAACAAGGAAGTAAGCCAAGAAAGGAGAAGATGTGGAATTCAGGAAAAAAAAAATTGCTTTAGCCTAGGAGAGAAGAAAAGGGAATTCCCAAGATGACAAGTGGGCAGCAAGCCCAGGGAGCAGTCAGTCCAGACTGTAGCAGAAGGACCAAGGACGCAGGAGGAAGGTATCTGGGGAGAAAGGGAATCAAGAGAACACCTGAAATGATGAAGAATTGGGAGGAAAATAATATGTTAAAGGCAAGTAATGCAAGGAAAAAAGAAAGGCAATTAAAAACTCCCAGAAAACCAAAAGCCTTCCAAGAAGGAAAATGTTATAGAAGGTATCTTAGCTTGTTGGGAAGAAATATGTATATATATTATCTAATAATGTAAATATTATTCATTAATTTTTTTAATGTTAGAATCAACTTAAAAGCAAAGCACAGAAAGCAATTATGTAATTATAGAAACAGAGCGTAAATGCTACCACCTTAACAATATTATGTATAGAATAGAATCCAATAGAATGTTCTATAAAGGTTGTATATTTATGCTGTCCAGTATGGTAGCTGGTAGTCACATGTAGAGACGAAGCACTTGAAATATTGAGCTGGTGCAACTAAGGAACTAAAGTTTTTATTTTATGTATTAATATTTTAATTAAATTAAATGTAAATAGCCACATGTGGGGTAGTGGCTACCATTCTGGATGCTGTGAGAACAGATGGCAAGTTAGAAGGTGGAGGAAAGAGGTGAGTTGAAAGGAAGAGATGCTGGCATCATCATATTACAGAATAGGAGTCATAAGGATACTACCTATAGTTAGTAGATGAAGAAATAAATATGTGAGTATATTCTGTAAAAATTACAATGGTAGCCTGGGCACGGTGGCTCATGTCTGTCATCCCAGCACTTTGGAAGGCCAAGGCTGAGGTCAGGAGTTTGAGACCAGCCTGGCCAACATGCTGAAACCCCATCTCTACTAAAAATATAAAAACTAGCCAGGCATGGTGGCACATGCCTGTAATCCCAGCTACTTGGGAGGCTAAGGCAGGAGAATCACTTGAACCCAGGAGGCGGAGGTTGCAGTTAGCCAAAATCATGCCACAGCACTCTAGCCTGGGTGACAGAGAAAGACTCTGTCTCAAAAAAAAAGAAAAAAATTACAATAGTAGCCAATAGAGGAACTAAAAACAGGAATATAACAATGTGAGGATGGTGAGTTAGTGAGGATGGTAATAAATAAGCTAAATCCTCTGATACCAAAGGACGGAGCTCTATAGAGAATGTTCTCTATTGGTAAACAAAGAAGGAGATAAAGGAGCATATTACTTAAATATGGAAGCAATTTCAAGGAGAGAAAGCAAAACGATGTCAGAAATGGTTTGCCACTGAGAACGAGAGAGGGAGGTGTTTTGATATGAGCACTTTTGTATGATTTTATTTTTAAATCACGTGTATGTATTATTTTGATACAAATTTAAAAGAACCCTTCTTCCTAAATATCCTTTCAAAAGGGAGTGAAGGCAGGGCATGGTGGTTCATGCCTGTAATCCCAACACTTTAGGAGGTTGAGGCAGGGTTCAAGACCAGTCTGGGCAACATGTCGAAACCCCAGCTCTACAAAAAATTAGCCAGTCACACACCTATAGTCCCAGCTACTTGGAAGGCTAAAGTGTAAGGATCACCTGAGCCCGGGAGGTCAAGGCTGCAGTGAGCTGTGATCATGCTACTGAACTCCAGCCTGGGCAACAGAGTTAGATGCTCTCGCAAAAAAAAAAAAAGGCAGTGAAATCAGTTTTGCAAGGGCATACACGTAAATAAATACCAAGGCAGTTTGTACTAAGTGCCAGATAAGAGACAGTAGGCAACATGTGCTGTAAGTGTCTGGAGCAAGAAACCCCAGGGGGCTCTGTGATCAGGGAGCACTCCTTTGTGCTTAAATAATGGATCCTTAAATCATGGGTCAAGGTTATTTTGGGCGAAGAGGAGGCCAGGTGTCAGACGCATTCTGATCTCTTGTATGTGTCTCTCACTGTCTCTTCATTTCTCTCTGTCTTTCTCTGGCCCCTGTGTCTCTTTCTCTATCTCTCCATCTGTCTCCGTATCTGTCTCTTCCCCTCTGTCTCCATTTTCTCTGTCTCTGTGTCTATTTCTCTGTGTGTGTCTCTCTCCCTCTATATATCTCTCAACTTCTCTATGTCACTCTCTGTCTCTCTCCAATCCTCTGGCTTCCTCTCTCTCTCTCTCTCTCTCTCTCTCTCTCTCTCTCTCTCTCTCTTTCTCTCTCTCTCTCTCTGTCTCTCTCTCCCTCTTTCCCCTTCTCTCTGCCCCCCTCTCTCTGAGTAACCATCTTTCTCTGTCCATCTTTGTATCCCCCTCCATTGCTGTGTCTCTGTCTTTCTGCGTCTCTGCTCTTGTTTCTGTCCCTGTCTCTGAATCTCTTTTTATTTCTCTGTGTGTCCATGTGATTCCCTCCATCACCCTCTCTGTCTCTCTCTTCCTGTCTGTGTGATTCCCTCTGTTCCTCTCTGTCTCTCTGTCTGAGTCATTTCCCATTTCTGTCTTTTGATCTCTGTCTCTGTCTATGTCTCCCCACCTTCATCCCCCATCAGAGAGAAGGACCGCCTGTGGCAGAGGCTCCAGCATCTTTCTTCCATGGCCCCTGGGTGCTGTGTGGCCTGTAGCAAGATCTTTGGCCGATTGTCCCGGCGGTATCCATGCAGGTAAAGGGAAGGGCACAGATTCCTCCCTCTGGGACAGCCCAGTTTCCACCAGCTGACAGCCCCCACCCACCCCAGGGAAGGGAGGGACACAGCAACTGGGTGTTTATAAAAGGCCACTTACAGCTGGCCACTCATTCTACCACATCTGACTTCCAACACTAAGCAGAGCCACGAAGGAGAAGAGCAGAAGGGTCAGATAAGGAGTGGGGTCCGGGGGGCAGGATTGGGTCCCCCTCCAAGAACTGACCAAGAAATGGGCCTCTCATCTGGAAGGGAGCGTCTGTACAGTGTAAGCTGCTCCCCCTCCTTCGTCTGTGGGCACAGTACTAGGACCAGCCTTGAGAGAGAGGAAAGTGAGCCACCAGGAGAAGCTGCCATGTGAAGGTGGAGGCTCTGGAGGGGTCAGGCATCAGGACACCCTTCAGGAGAGGGGAGACCTCTTGAGACAGACCAAGGGCATTCCACTGGGAGATGAGAAACAGATGTCTCAGGTGGACCTGAAGATGCTGGAACTCCATGACCTCAGCGCCCACTTGGGGAAGTGCCAGCTGCAGAGGCCACCCCAGGCTTCCCTGCCTCTGCCTTCCAGGCTCTGCGGAGGCCTGCTCTGCCACGCTTGCTCTGCAGATTACAAGAAGAGAGACCGCTGCTGCCCACCCTGTGCCCAGGGAGGAGAAGCCCAGGTCACCTGACCAAGACCAGCCCACGACTGGCCTCCCACCCGCTTGCCCATCCCACTCAATCCACTCCCTGCCCGTAGCTCTTCCCAGCCCTCTTGTTTGTCCAGTCCAAATTCTAGACATTGGAGATCTAAGGCACCAGCACTTCTGTGGACAGAGTAGGGTGTGGGGAGTGGTTCCAGCCCTGCAGCTACCACAAGGAGCCAGGTGACTTTGGCGAAGCCCTCAGTGCTCAGGGCTTCTTCTCTAACGTTAGGAGTCGGGCCCCATCCTCTCTAAAGTCCCTCTGGGATCAGCAAATCCATGACTGTAGATAAGACGCCAGCAGCCCTGACATTTCTCCTCCACACTCCCCACTCACCCAGCACTGGTGCCCACCCTTCCTGATTCACTAGAAGTGAAGCCTGCACTGTCTTGGGCTCTCCCGCAGCTTCTTGTCTAGAGTCAGCTTCAGGGATCTGTGTTTGTATTGCTGTGTTTCTTTTTATGTTTAACAGTTTTATTGAAGTACTACTGATGCATGATAAACATGACAGAGTGTACAATTTGATGAGTTTTGATTTTAATAAACGCCAGTGAACCATCTTCATAAACATATCTATCCACCCCAAAGTTTCCTTGTGCCCCTCTGTGGCCTCCCTCCCTTGCTTTCCCTCCATACCTAGGCAAACACTGATCTGCTTTCAGTCACCACAGGCTAATGTACATTTTCTAGAATTTTATGTAAGTGAAATCATACAGTACGCCCTCTTTATTGCCTGCCTTCTTCTGCTCAGCTTCATGATGTTGAGATTCCTGCTTGTTGCCACATATATCAGGAACATATTTTATTTTTGAGTGGTGTCCGCCATATGGATATGCCACAATTTGTCTCTACATTCACTTGTGGATGGACATCTGAGTTGTTTCCAACTTGAGGCTATTACAAATAAGATTCACATGAGTCTCTGCTGACATACACTTGTTTGTCTTATGTTTCTCTTGTGTAGACATACACTTGTTTCTTTTACATAAATACCTAGGAATGACATGAATGGGTCATTATGTTTAACTTTTTTTTTCTTTTTTTTTTTTTTCTTGAGACAGAGTCTCGCTCTGTAGCCCAGGCTGGAGTGCAGTGGTACGATCTTGACTCACTGCAAGCTCCGCCTCCCGGGTTCACGCCATTCTCTTGCCTCAGCCTCCCGAGTAGCTGGGACTACAGGTGCCTGCCACCATGCCCGGCTAATTGTTTGTGTTTTTAGTAGAGACGGGGTTTCACCGTGTTAGCCAGGATGGTCTCGATCTCCTGACCTCGTGATCTGCCTGCCTTGGCCTCCCAAAGTGCTGGGATTACAGGTGTGAGCCACCGCACCCGGCCATGTTTAACTTTTAAGGAACCGGAAACTATTGCCCAAAGAGGTTGTACATTGGCCCTTCCCACCAGCGCTACGTGAGAGTTTCTGTTGCCCCCACCCTACTCCCGCCAGGACACCTGGGTTTGGAAGGCAGGAAAGAGGCACAGACACAGAACTTGGGCCTCTTTGTCCTTCCCCACCAACCACTATAGTTCTTGATTGATCTCAAGTTGAGAGCACCTGGAGGGAAGGGCTGAATCTAGGTGACTCTCTGTGCAGCGTTCATTTGGCCAGACTTTTGATAAGGACCATTGATGTGGACTATGTAGTAGTGTGGCATAAGATCACATCCCCTATATTGTCCAAGAAGGCTTATGAAAGGTGTAGGTCATTCACTCGGCACCTGATTGTGGTACTTCTGAGAATAACTGTTTCAGAAGAGGTGCAGACCACACTCTAGGATAAGGTGATTAGCTGCCCTACACAGTTCTAAGACACATTCTGTGGCCCCCAGCAGGCATTCACACTATCCTTATCTGCTCTGCCTTGCAGGCACTGCTAGAGCCTCCACAGCTGTTGGGCAATCCTGTGGCTCTGACCAGAGCTCTGGACAGCCTCTCGGGGTTAGGCCGCCCAGATTGCATCCCGTTACCTTCACATGGAGCAAGAGTTTTGCAAGAGTAGTTTCTGCCCTAGAAAGCTGGTGAGAACTTCTGCTTAGCAAACACAATAACAGGGCGAAGGGAGAAACTGGGGGGCTCCTGGAGCAAGCAGAGCAATAGAATTGCCACTACCCTAAAGAGCAGCAGTCCTGGCCGGGCGCGGTGGCTCAAGCCTGTAATCCCAGCACTTTGGGAGGCCGAGACGGGCGGATCACGAGGTCAGGAGATCGAGACCATCCTGGCTAACACGGTGAAACCCTGTCTCTACTAAAAAATACAAAAAACTAGCCGGGCGCGGTGGCGGGCGCCTGTAGTCCCAACTACTCGGGAGGCTGAGGCAGGAGAATGGCGTGAACCCGGGAGGCGGAGCTTGCAGTGAGCTGAGATCCGGCCACTGCACTCCAGCCTGGGCGGCAGAGCGAGACTCCGTCTCAAAAAAAAAAAAAAAAAAAAAAAGAGCAGCAGTCCCTTTCTGGAAATGAGGCTTACTCACATGTCTTTACTAGGGCAGGGTTCTTACTATAGCAGAAGAAGTCATATTCTAGCAGGAAGTCCAGCACAAAATTCAGACTTTCCTGATGAATTGATTGGATGTTCACGGGGTGGGGAGGGGGACTGGCTGAAGCCCGTTTCACAGAGCAAGGAGGTTGCTCCTGGAAGAGAACTCATCAGACGGGAATCAGCGGCCAGGACTCGGGGAGTTGGACCTTCTCCCACTGTTTGGGGTAAAGAAGAGCAATGCTGAAGACCAACATGTAGCTCAACACTGGCCCTGAAGAGTCTGCACCAAGTCCAATGGAGAGCAACAGAGCTCCAAAAAGAAATCAGAAAAGTCTGTTAGACTTTGGGGACTCTCAAGCAGAGAGATCCACAAAAATCACCATAGACCTCCCAGAGCCTGGCACTGCAAGTGCACCCATCCTTCTTCAGTGGTGACTCTAGGGTGCATGTCCAGCAACTGCAAAGCCCAGAGAAGCTTGTGGGAGACACCCCAATAGACTCCCCCAAGTCCCTGAGGAGCGCATTACAGGGCTGAAGTCCAGCATGAACACATGGGCTCTGAGCCAGCGTGATCCAGGTTGTTGCTATTGATGTGACTTCATCTGTATTCATAGGCTGGGGATACCCTGGGTAATTGGGGCAACATAGTTATTTCTTTAAATTAGATGTCACTGGGATGCTCCAACATACATCAGTTTCCCCTACCTGTCAATTCATTCAGTGCTCAAAAAAAAAAAATATGTTAAGCTTCTATGATATGCCAAACAATGATTGGTTTGGAGATACAAAGATAAAAATATATATGAAAGAACTGCTTTCAAGAACCTCACCGTGGGGGAAGGAGCAGCCAAATGGATGATGAATTATAAACCCTTGGCTACATTTGCAAGGCAAAAGGAGAGTTGGCCAAACCAAAAGAGTGGGAAAGAGCATCCCAGGGAAAAGGGAAACACATGCCAAGACCCCAGAGGAAACCAGAACAGCTCCTTGGGGGTTGAGGGGACTGTAAGTGGTTCCCTGTGGCTGGAGTTAAGTGTTCTGTATTGGGGGGTGGGGAGAGCCGGAAGTGACAGGGTTGGAGAAGTAACAGGAGTTAAATGGAGGGTGCCAGGTGACCGACTCAGGAGTCTGACTTTACCTGAGTGTAACCAGGGTCGTTGATAAATTTTAAGAGGAAAAGCAAGTGATCAAATTCACATATTAGGAAGCTCATTCTGGCAGTGGATTGGAGGGCGGGTTAAAGGGGGAACTATTTGAAGTAGAAAACATTTAGGAGAGGAGGAGGGGGAGAGGAGGAAGAGGAGGATGAGGAGCAGCTAATAGAGCCAAGCATCATTCTAAGTGTTTATCAGTATAGACTCATTTAATCCACATAACAACCCCTTGTAGGAGCTGCTCTCATTATACCCACTTCACAGATAATGAAACTGAGACCCAGTGATATTAAATCACTTGACCAAAGGTCCAGGACTAGGTAGGTGGATTCTAACTCACACAGCCCAGTCTAGAACTCACAACTATTGCATGACCATTGCCTTAGGTAAGGTGAGAGAGAATAAAGTGTTGCCTAACACTCTCAGTGAAGGTGGTGAGGAGGAGATAGTCAGGAGTGATGTTAAGGAGAGGAAGAGTGAGGAGCAGGTACATTTCTGGTTTGGCAGATGATTGAACGAGGAACAATTCAGAAGAAAGACATGTCAAGAAATACAATGAGATTAGTTTTCTACATGTTGAATTTGCAACATCTGCGGGCCCTCAGGGAGATTTCAGGAGGTAATTGCATGTCAGAGTTTGGAGCTTAGGGGAGACACTGGTTAGGAGCAGTAGCTATGGGAGACCCTGGCACATGTTGGATGACAGTTGAAGCCATGAAAACCAGTGGACTCCCCAAGAGGGAGCAGGTAGAGTGAGAAGAGAAGAAAACCAAGGTAGAATCCTCAGGAACTTCAATATCTGAGGAATAAATTTAAAAATAGAGCAACAAACAAGACCAAGAGGGATCAAAGGGAATAGAGGAGAATAGGTCAGTGGGATTCAATGATATAGAGATCAAGTAAGACCTGAACAGTAACTGTCCACCATAAATGAAGTTGAAAATCATACAGCAGGCAGGAAGAAAATATCTTAACATAACTAACAAATATTCAAAACACAATATGCCCAAATTATATAAAGAGCTCCTACAAATCAATAACAAATTAACAATCTGAGGCTCAGCATGGTGGTTCATGCCTGTAATCCCCAGCACTTTGGGAGGCCGAGGTAGGTGGCCAGGGGTTTGAGACCAGCCTGGTCAACATGGTGTGAAACCCCATCTCTACTAAAATTACAAAAATTACCCAGGAGTGGTGGTGAACACCTGTAGTCCCAGCTACTCGGGAGGCTGACGCATGAGAATTGCTTGAACTTGGAAGGCAGAGGTTGCAGTGAGCCAAGATTGCACTCCAACCTGAGCAACAGAGTGAGACTCTATTTCCAGGAAAAAAAAAAAAAAAGGTATATTTCTTGCCATGCACAATGGCTCATGCCTGTAATCCTAACACTTTGAGAGGCAGAGGCGAGAGAATCACTTGAGGCCAAAAAAATAAAAAATAAATAACAAAATAATGATCCAAGCAAAAAGGAAAGAGATAAGAATAATTAATTCAGCTGGACCCAGTGGCTCCCACCTGTAATCCCAGATATACAGGAGGCTAAGATGGCAGGATCACTTGAGGTGAGATACATACATATATATACATATATACGTGTATACACATATATATACATATATATGATATAGTATATATATCTTTTTATTAAGAAAAGAAGGAAGGAAAACATGTTTGTATTTACATAGAGAGAATTCTGGGAAAATGTACACACCAAGCTGTAGACAGTAGTTATCTGAGGAAAAGATACGGGTGAACAGAGGAACAGAAGGGAGACTTTCCAGCTGTGCTTTATATGATTTTGTGCTTTTGTATTGCTTGTATTCTTTACATATGCATGCTTTGTTTTGTCATATTAAAAGTTTTGTGTATTCGTGTGTTTCTTTTTTAT